TGTTCAAACTGCAAAACAACCGATGACCTTGACAACTGATCTTTATATCACGATCAGTAACAAACTTCTGTTCGAGCTCTATACATCAAAATATAAAAACAATCTAGCTTTACTCTTCAGGCCATTTAATGCATCGACAGTATTCTCGGCAATTTCAAACTTCATTTTAATATACAGCAAAAAATTTAGATTAATCTTTGACAAAACAAAATTCCACACAAACCAATTGCCATATATATTGAATCTGAATTCGATTTTTAAAAATCTTTGTATGCATGTAGATTTCGGTCAGTTGGTGCCGGGGTTTATCAAAGTCTCACCTCGTGAAGATTTGTTGATAAAAATTCCGAAGGAAAAAGTGACCCCTAACCTAAGTTTGGGTTACTTACAGCGGACCAAACAACTACCCTCGTCGGAGTAAGACTGCTGAATCGACAGAGCTTAACTCGTTTTTATTGCAATTAATACTAAGTTTTATTGATATTAAACCAAAAGTTTGCAGGTTTCACAAAAAACCCAGCATGTATTGATGTTACTACAACTTTCAAAGCGGAGCTGGACAAGATAGAGCTGCAGTGAATGGTTAAAAGGGTCATTTCGCAGCAAATATACTCTTTATGTATGCATATGTTGTTGGCCAATGTGTGAGGGCGTTGGACAAAAGTCTCCTTGTGAAAAATGATTGAAAAAAAATAATTCGGTGTGTAATGTGTGCACGCGCGGATTCGAATCCTGACATGGGTACAATGTGTGAAGCCCGTTTCTGGTGGGCCCGCCGTGATATTGCTGGAATATTGCTAAAAGCAGCGTATAAAACCATACTCATTCATTCATTCATTCATTATCTAAAAAATACTGATAAATAATATACCACTAATTCGTACGCGTGGAGTTTAGAAATGGAATATGAACATTGCATAATTGTGTTGAGGAAGCTGACACGACGGCAACGAAACTGTTTTCTTTTGTTTACATCACCGGCGTTGTATGGAGAAACCATGTTAAAACGTTCGCTCTTGTGACGAAAATCCGGGTAAAATTGGGTAAAATGTGTGAAACCCATGCTTGGTCTTCCCGTCGTAATGCGGTTGAAATATAATTATAATTGTTTAATTGGTTAAGTTGAAAACACCAACGATATAGGTGTAAGAACATAAACAGAATTTAGAATCAATGTTTTATGTACATGCTGTATTCTTACATTAAATAATATGCTTCATTTATTGACGATATGGAACAATCTTTCCTACACCCCTCCACACACACATACACACACATACGCACTCACACACACACACACACACACACAGACACAGTGACAGAGAAACGCTCTTACTGAACTGGTGCCCTGGTGCTGTTTTGCATCGAATATAACATCACATCATCTTCGAATCTTTACAACCACAGCAATGATTCGTTTTCATAATTATATGTTCACAAACAGATTGTTTAATTACATATTGCTACACTTACCATGTCGTTTTGTTCAACGTCCTCTCCAGGGTGAAAACATATGGTAGGGCAGGAAATCAAGCTGAAAAATATTTCTTCGTGAAAAGTCTTCATAATGCACACGACATACCAAAGTTTTAAACGCAGCGTTCAAAGTAGCGCGTGAATAATATAAATATGAGAAGTATGGGTCTATAAGCCCATTGTAATCTCGATTTTAAATGAATTCTAAACAACTTGTTGAAGTTAATTAAACATGAACCGGTGCATTTGATAAAGTAAGCGTCGTCTGCTTCGATCCATAGAGACTGGATTACGCGCAGGGAAAACTCGTGCAACGGAAGTGTTTCCCGATTGGCTAAACTCGTAACCATGACATCGCGTGACTATTCTGGTGAACACCTGCATGGAATATACAAACACCTCTAACCTGATTTGACATTTGTTTATATAAATAATCTTAAACGACAAAGCCATTGGCGGTGGGGTTTGTCTAGCGAGGTAAAAGCGTTGACTCGTCACACCAATTCACAACATGGGTACACCATGTACAGCCGATTTTGACGCCCCTCTCCGTAATATGGCTTGGATTTTGTTCCAAATTTCACAAATGATTTTGTGATAATAAATGGTAATTTTTAGCGGTATTCATCATAATAGAATGGAGATGCAATACAGTCAAGCGCCTTAACATTTTAATGCATTTTAATCATAATGATGATTGTGAAAAAGAATAATCAAAGAATTATGAACAATATATATAAAGTACCACACGAGTAAAAACGTTTTAACTGAGGGTCAAATGAGAGTATAACGAGGTTTTTTTTATGTTATGGAAAATCATTGAAAGAACTGTTGTTAAATTTGATAATTTCTATTTAACCATCACTCATTCCTGCAACAGTTTGTGAAAAGTTATCTGTGGCTGAATAATTTTGTGTATTTGTTCGATGACTAACGGGATAGAGTGGTCAGGCTCGCTAACTTGGCTGATGCATGTCATCGTATCCCAATTGCGTAGATCGATGTTCATGATGTCAGTCACTGGATAGTCTGGTCCAGACTCGATAATTTACAGACAGCCGTCATATAGCTGGAATATTGCTGAGTACAGCGTTAAACAACAAACAAACAAACAAACCAACACTTCATATAATGTGTGAAGCCTAATTCTGCTGTCAGGCGCCTTGATATTGCTGGAATATTGCCAAACGCAGCGTAAAACCGAACTCACTCAGAAGATAGGGCGAAAAGGGGAAACAAGCTGGAGTTACGGAAAGGAGCTAGGATTAATAATCAGTTTTATAATGATATATGCAAATATACTGCGACATGCACAAAGTTATGTAGCTCACCTGTTGTTTTCTGGAATATTTTCAAAATAATATAACTATTTATAAACAATATTACAACGAAAACGTGGTGGGAATAGTTATACCTAATATAGACAAACTTAGATTGACGACAATGGCAATACCGGAAATAGGGTCGTAACAAGGTGGGACAGGATGAATAGGTCACCAGGCGTGACAAAGATCTCTTAGAATATTACGTTTCAGCTTTAGGTGACGGAAGGGGGCGAATGGTGACGAATTACCAATTACGTCATAATCTAAGGGGGGTTACTCAGGCCTGTTTAGCTCGGAAACCAAAGGCCTCATAACGGCATGACATATTCACACTTACTGTGAGCTTCCTACTTTCACTGAGAGAAAAATGAGGGTATATTTTAAAACACTAATACTAACTTATTCTAAAATTGCGTTTTGTTTGAAATAAGAAAGAAAGTGATTTTGGTGTGTAACACTTCCCCTGTTCTAGATCTAGATCTATTTAGCTCTTGAGTTGTTTGTGCGAATACTGTGATATTGTGATTGAAAATATGGGATACACCCAACTCGCCTAAAATCTGACTCGCCTAAAACGATTTTGACTCGACTCGCCTAAAAAATTTTTGAGCGAACTACGGTCGGTTTTTTATTTTAAAATAAGTATGTAACTATCGGAAATACATAGTAGTGCATTTTATACACATAATGTACCTAAATGTTAGTGTTGTAGTCTCGTAAATATGACAGAAGACAAATTCTATGGAGGATACGTTGGTTTTTTAAATATTATTTCCATACTTGTGTATGAATATACTAGTAATTGTGATCATTAGGCCTAACCTAAGTTATATTTGCCAAACGCATAGCAAAATATTATATATATATTTTTTAGGCGAGTCGGGTAAGATTTTTTTAGGCGAGTCGGGTGTAACTCGAAAATATTGGCTCTGTTTGTAGTAAAAAGCAAATGTCCTCGAAGTGTACAGGTTTAATTTGTATTTCTTTCAGTTCCAAAATAAATATTAAACCTACAACGACATATATAGACAGATTTAGCTTGCTTGGACACCGAACGTAAGAACATACAAGTATCTGCTGAATCAGCATTCTTCACGAGCCGACACGTGTACATTTTCTAACTGAAGATACATATCCGTTCACAATACATGCCTACTTTTAGACGTATAGTCTGTCAACCATCATTTTGGCACCCGTTTCTCACAATTATTTTCCCACATAAGATTTCTATGCAATAAATCGCAAAGAACAAGGACGAACGAAGCGTGGTATATTTCATGATAAAACAGGCTGAACATAAGTTCGAAATCTCATGATGAACAAACGACTCGTGGTCGTTGTTTATCGTACAATGTACTCCCACTCATCAATCTCGCAATGAAAGTTATCGACTAATAATCTGGCAACAATGACATGCTTGCTGCATGCATGAGGGGGATTATTTGAAATAAGGTTCCCTGAACAGGGATATGTGTTTCTCCTGTGAAAAGAAATGGAGGTTTAAGATCAAGAACATTGCACTTGTATAGCTATGTGCGTGCGTATCTGCTTGTACTTGTCCAGACTAATGCCCATGAGATACCCTGCAGCAGTTTAACATGGATACCCCACTCGGACACAGTATACTCAAAGATGACTGGTCCTTGTATCCCCTTCATACCGAGCACCAGGCAGGGAAACATGAAGTACGAGCCACTGACCTTCCGCTCTCCTGGCAGATTCTCTATCCACAAGACCATGAAGGCGGTCACTAAACAAAAGGGTTCTGTATGTAGTGAGTGAGAGAGTGAGTATGGTTTTACGCCGCTTTTAGCAAAATTCAAGCAATATCACGGCTGGGGGACACCAGAAATGGGCTTCACACATTGTACCCATGTCGGGAATCGAACCCGGGTCTTCGGCATAACTGTTCTGTATGTAAAATGAACATCAACATAGATAGCATTATTAACACATTAGGTTTTATTTTTTAAACCTTTAGGCACATACATATACAAAACATATGTTAGCATTCTTGAGTCTGATTCCCCACATGTGAAGCCAGTTCCTGATTCAATACTTATTCACAAATCCATAGTTGAATGATGCAACCAGTTCTGTGTAACCGCCTCTGATGCAAAGTAACTGCAACTTTATAAGGGCGAAATACTGAATTTAACCTGCCCAACAAGTAACTTGAAACAAAGGACAAAAAGTATGTTTGAGTTGTGGTCATATTTATTTGCCCAGGGTGAACATAATTATTCATGGCAAGATTTACTTACAAATATTTACATATATACATACAGGGAAATTAAATACACACTGCTGCATCACACACCCATCATACACAACAAACATTTAGTCTGTATCACACACATGAGCATCTCCTCCAACTAATTATCAATATATCCTTTTCGAAAAGAAAATATGTAACTCCATGTTTGTTTGTTGATTAATGTCGCTCTCAGCAATATTCCAGCTATATGTGACGGTCTATAAATAATAGAGTCTGGACCAGACAATCCAGTGATTGGCATCATGAGCATCGATTGACGCAATTGAGATACGATGACATGCATCAACCAAGTCAGTGAGCCTGACCACCCCGATCCCGTTTGTCGCCTCTTACAACAAGCATAGTCACCTGTTATGGCAAGCATGGGTCACTGAAGACCTATTCTATCCATATTTACAAGTATAAACACTGATATACAGTAATACCTTATCAGTCCAGAACCCCTCCTTCAGGACCTTCCTGTTTTGTTTAATGATAGACAAAAACACACTGCTTTCAAGGTAACGATTCAGAAAATCTTTCTATACAATTTGTACATCTGTAACACCATGTAAGAAATTGTCCAGATTATGCATATGCAAGTAACCATTAGTACAGTAGTGAGTACCATTTAACAGCGAGGAGTGTAATGTTTAAAAAAAAAGAAGGACATTTGAAGGTAGACTACATTTTTCCATAGGGCCAATAAAAATGGTTTTGTTTCAGTTCTTTAAGGGAATTTGGCCCCACATGATTTAATTTATTTGGAGGGGGTTGGGGGACTTCAGGTTGACTAATGGAGCTACCCGCTCTTGATTTATAATCCAGGGGAAAAGGCCTGACACCAGGTCAATGAGAGTTATAGTACTTTCCCCAACCCCTTAATTCCAGAAATCCAATGAACTGGTTCAAATCTTTGCAATTGTGAGATTCTAGTGCTCTTATCTTTGGCAAAATGCCTCGAAAGGCTTTCAGATTTTGATATTTTAGAACACTTCATTTACTTGCAAAAAAGTGGTAAAAATGGGGTCTACTTATTTATGCCTATTGCAATTACCATAATTACACATAAAATGATAAAAACATGCAGCACTGTTTATCAACATTTTTTAAAATGTTATTTCAACATTCATACCAAAACCTGATATACTATGGAATGGGTATCAAACAATGAGAGGATGATATAGTTTAATTTCACATTGTAATTTCAATCAAATTTTGATATCACACATAAACAGGTTGTTATTTACAAGAATAATCCAACAAGCTGATATTGCACAGTCTGTTGCCCTATTGCATGGTTTTAGCCCTGGCAACTTCAGTGGAAGAGTAACATCCCTTTCAATACAATTTGAGGCAGAGTTGTGTCCCTTTGAGTGCAATCTCTTTCAAGAGCCTCAGTTTTTGAGATCAATGTAAAGAACATCAATTTTGTACATCTGTTACAATTTTTCTTTACAATAAAATCAGAAAGTGAGACGAAATATGACAGTTAACAAATTTATAGATTAATGAAAGAACAGAAGATACTGGTATTTTTCTACTTTTCCTTGGATATTAGAAATAAATTCCTGAGCCATGTCAACAAACTTTCAAAACTAAATAAATTACACAAATGCTTGCATACATTCAATATGAAATTCAACAAATTTATAGTAGTTAAAATATATGTCACTTTTTACATTTGCCATATGCAGTCACCATGGAATGGCATTAGTGTACGCTGAATTCATCTCGTGAAAACATTGCTTCAATTACAATGAATTCCATCACATAACATGGGGTTATTTTTTGGAACTAGGTGAAAGAGCTTGTTCAGCTTGTCACATGGAAAATATATTAGAAACTTCCTTATATGCTGAACTCATTAACATTTTAAAGTAAAATTATGTACACAAAGATTATTGAAAATCTGTTAAAACTGGAATAAAACTAAACAGTTGAACTACTGCTTTAACTTTCGTTAAAGTCAGAGACTAGGCTTGTTCTGAAAACAAAATTTTGCGCTCTTCTTACTTGCATATTTCTGATTTCTAGAAAGAGCAGTGTTAATGTTTAACAACATGTCAACTACAAGCAACTTTGAAACCCAGTGTAATGTTAAAATGTAAATATTTAAGGATTCCAAGATTCAAATACCAAAGAAGACCTCAAGGACCCACTTTAATTTTGAACATTGATAACAATGATGGATGAATATGATGAAATAACATATCGTGACATGTATTAAAAGTTGATTTGATGACTGCATACACTCTCTCAAGTTCAATGTTCTGTAAGCTTCACACAAAATGAACAGAAGAGTCTCAGATGTGTATGATCTGCAATCTTCCACAAGCTACATCACACCCAAGAATCGGATTAGGCCATGCCATTTATCTGTTCTAAATCCGTCGACATATCACATTAGGACCATCTCGATCCTTGGATCCACACAACCGACACAGCTGTCTGGTCAATTACGCCAGTTTCTATGATGACACCTGTCAGTCACGGCGGACAGCTTGAGATGGTGTTCATATCACAAGAACAGTGCACGATGGTCCATCAGCAGAGATAAGTCACTGAGTTGGTCATCAGGAGAATTTAAACCTCATGAGATTCTGGACAACAGTTCACTCTTCTTTTTGTTTGCTGTCATCCTGAAATAATATAAATAAATATAAATAAATTCTACATGCTCTACAATAAGAGTATGATGACAAGCAGCATCAGAAACAGACACAAATTGTGACGTATGCATGTCATAGATATAATCTTTTCAAAAGTATTTCGTTAATAGAAGATCTGTTGTTTATACTCCTTACTCAGCAATATTCCATCTATATGACGGTAGTCTGTAAATAATCGAGTCCGGACCAGACAATCCAGTGACTGACAACATGAGCATCGCTCCACGCAATTGTGATACGATGACATGCATCAACCAAGTCAGTGAGTCTGACCACCCGATCCTGTTAGTCGCCTCTTACAACAAGCAAAGTCGCTGAAGACTTACTCTACCCCGGATCTTCACGGGGCGCTTTACCAGCAGACATCCATAAAGAGTTCAGTTAGACATGAAATATGTGTATGAAGTAAATTCCTGCCTTTTCAATTTTTTTGAATACATTTCCTTGCACACTATGAACAATGACAGTTACTTCCTAAGCAGAGCTACAGATAAGCAGCGTATATGCGTAAAATATTCAAATCCCAATTACTTTCAATTAACTTGCGTATAGAAACGCATGCAGTAAATGAAAAACTCAAATGTATAAAAACAGTACGCATAAATACCCAATGAAGCTTTTTCAGCATGCGTACAAAGGAGCTAATTTCCGAAACACAATTACAAGCTTATTTACTTTCAGAGTCAAGCCTATATATTTAGAACAGTTATATATCTAAAACATTAATTTTTTTTTTAAATGTTAAAATGTTCACTAATTTTAGGAAAAGCCCAATAGATGCTAGATGAGTGAATAAAATTGGTTACCCAATGAAAGTGTAATAACCCAATTAAAATAGAAACCCTAGAGTAAAAACTAAATTGCTCAAAAAGTTATCTGGAGCTCTACTAAGTTTAAAAATTCAACAACTACTTACTATTGCAAGTTGTCGTCCAATATTGCCCATTGTTACTCCGCCTGAGAAGAATACACATGGCAGCCATGACCTTACAAACAGGAAATCTGGCTCTGTGTACCTGGAAAAAAATAACAATCAAATTTAAACATAATTCACACGTACCGGTACATAAAAGTCAATGGACAACAGACATAAAAAGCCCTGTTTGTATCTTTTGGGGTTACAACTTTTCACATTCAATTTACACAGTACAACACTCACCACAAAATATACTAAGCACCAAAAGAAACTGTGCATATCCATCACTAGGCACCAGAAGATTTTATTATGTGCAGTTTCTGTTGGTGCCTAGTGTATCTATTCATATGGACTTTGCTTTAGGAAATATGAACAATAAAAAAAATTTAGTTAGGAAACACTTCGTCATAAGCTCATTGAAATGGACAAAATCTTGCTAGTTATTTATGGATAAACCATGAATGTAATGAACATGATGAGATGAATATAATTTGTTACAAAACTCACCGATAAACTCCATTATAGACTAGAAGTTGAGCTACAAATGTTGCAAGTACTGCAATGGCCACTCCAAGTCCAAATCCGCTCCTGGACCGGTCAAACAACCACCACAGTCCAATAGACATAGCAGCAAGTGACAGAGATAGCTGCAGGTTGTTGGCAAAGTCAATTTTCTTTATCAAGTTAAGGAACAACACATAATGCGAAATTGGAAGAAATAAGTCGAGTCCAGTATAAACAGCGGCATTTTCTTCATCATTACCAAGCCCCACTTGAATAGGTGGTGTCTTACCCTGGGAGCTCGGAACCAAGATGGCCATGAACATGGACGTTGGGATCCATGGTTACTGAGCAATTGCTGAGAGTGGGCATCAGTAGTTGGACCCAGTGTTGTTTTTGATAAGTATTTTTAGGCTTATTGCCTTATTTTGGGTGGACAGTCTGCACTGATGCATGATATGGGTGGGTGAGTTTGGTTATATGTTGCTTTTAGCAATATTCCAGCAATATCACGACGGGGGAGACCAGAAATGGGCTTCACACATGGTATCCATGTCGGGAATCGAATACAGGTCTTCGGCATGATGAGCGAATGTGATGTAAACAGTGACTAAGTTTTGCCAACTTGATGACACACAAGAGCATCGGCATCAAAGCCAGATGTAGCTTTTGGGGAAAATACAAACATGCTGGCATGGGGGGGGGGAGAACAATTTGTGTTTGTTAGCCTTAAATTGGCCGGCTTATGGAAAATACTTGATTTGGGAGGAAAACAATGAGTTTCTTGACCTGCCCGGGCCTTGACTATCAGACTACTGGCGGTGTAACCCTGATACATTCACTTCGTAATATCACGGATGCAAGACCACTTAAAACTTAATTGGACTCGGTTTTAGGGCACATGCTATCATTTGAAATTATGTATTCACAATTGTTTACCAAATTAGCAATTACACTAAGCATGTGTTAACCAGTGTGACATGTTCGTATGAAAGGATACTGCACTTGCATGGTTGATTCCAACAAAGACTGCTACACATCGCATCACACTTGACCATTCCCGCTTGAAGGATGGAGTCTCCCCAAGCCTGTGATCAAGGCACGGATACAGCAAACCTATCACAGCTGAAAAATGAGTAACCAATTAATCAGTTTATCATCCTTCTTTTTTCATCATTTCTTGAAAAACGTCCAGTTAAACTACTGCATTGAGGTATACTTGTTTCATTTTTAATGCAATTCTGTGGCTATGTTTCTTTCTGCCAAAATTGCAGAGGTTAATTATGAACTGGGTTAAGTTCATATACAAGACTATTGTTTTAAAACAAGTTACACAACTGACATGATTCAATAATTACATATTAATTAGAACACTATTGCTTTCAGTTTGTGTGAATACTGACATCTTGTTATCACAGCTAGGACTCAGATATATGCCCCACTAATATGCACCACAACATCTGGATGGTTTGTGCAAAAACCTTTTGAAACTACTTGCCTGAACATTGATTTTGACATAATTTTCAAACTATGGTTCATACTACATGTACTAGGCCAGAAGGAATGTTCTACTAAACTAAGGGCTTTAACTTGTGGCCATGGCCGCAGACTGTCAGAAAGCCAATGAATAAGCTCAAGAGATATTTCCCAAGCACTCACTAAAGTCTACAAAACAGATTGCTTCAAGAGGATTCTTACTATGCTGGAACGTTTTCAAGTTCAGTTTGTCAAATGCCCCCAAACAGTGATCTCAAAACAGAAAAGACTACACATATAAATCTCTAACATGTCTGCCTAATAGTTAATCTTTCTGTTTTTATGACAATACTGCTTCATGATATTCATGTGTTGATTTAATAATTAAGCCCCTAATAAGTAAATATGGCAGCTGTTCCAGTTAACTTACCTGCTGCTGTTCCACATGACGGAGGCACCCACCATGCCGAAGAGAAAAGACTGGCTAGAACCTCAGGGGGAAAAACTGTGACTTGACGTTGGACTTGCAATAAATTCAGAACAAGTGCAAAGAATACTCCAATACTGAATAACACTGTTCCACGGATAATCAACTGCTGCACTGTAGCCATATTGGTATATCTGTGGGGAAAGACAAAATCTTAGTTCATGCACAAAGTGTCGCATGGTGATAAATGCATGATGCAAAGTTACACCCAAAACATAACAACATCTATATTTAAAATGTTACACCAAATTCGGCTGACAGTGTCACGATCATGACGATAGTGGCAGTTATTACGACCTATGGCGTTTAAAAAAATGATTTTCGTCTGATCAGTTCGTTGTGCAATAGGCTAAATAGCACTAATAATTAGATTACTAAGTGTATCTAAAACTGAAAATGACCATTCATATCTATGCAATAGGAACACCAATGGTGAACGATCTCTGACAAAATATGTTAGGCCATTACGATCTCTTACGTCACAGCGAAGTTTCAGCTGTCAAAATAAATGCGCTATCAAAACAAGCATTAAGAATATATGTACCTTGAAACATTACAATGTAGATCTATGTAGATCTGTATTGAATCCAAACACTTTTCAAATAACTCCAGAAATCTGAATACAAGGAATTCTGCAGGATTTGACTAAATATATCACAGGGTCTAAAGTCCACCAGACTATAAGACATGCAGCGATTCCGTGATCAGCTGACGAACACAACATCAACACCAATGAAAGAAACGTTGCAGAAGAAAATGCAGCAGTTCATATATAAGTTTGTAATTCCCAACACAACATACTGAACTCACCTCAGCTCGAAGCGTTCCAACTGCCAGACTACGATATTATGTCAAGTAATTGTTGTCCAAACAGTAAAATACTATACTACCGGCACAATCGCACGGTGTTGAATCGTAAGACAAGCATCACACCATCGCACTCGCCTGACAAGTGTTGACCAATCAAATTCAGCTACGTCACCGCGTGTTCATTCCTTTGAATGGGGTCACGCTGTCGGAATCATTTATCGGTCACACAGTCAGCCAATCAAACTTCAGAAGATCGAAAAATGCGCGCTTTCACGGGGTCGCAGACGCTTTCCAATTACTTCCGGGTTATATTTTTGTTTACATCGAAAACTGCCGATATTGCCCGATGACGATTGGTCACATGATTAGCTATTCGTCAAAATGGCTGCGCCCAGTCCTGCTGGTAGCATCTTTGCAGGAAGGCCTCGAACAGGCTCAACAAAATTCCCTCCCACCCAGTTAGATGCAGACGGTCGAGAAGTTGAGGTATTTCGTAACCAAAGAATTAAATCTAGTAGCACATGATCGTACAATCCAGTGACAATACATACAGAATAAAATATGACAGAGCATAAAACACTGATCAGATGTCCGCTGAAAAGGGGCGTGGTTTTTAGAGCAGACATCAATATCATTATGACAGTTACGGTCGTCTTACAGAAATATGACATTTCCTTGTTTAAATGCACCCCAATTATCTGGTTCTGAAAAGACAGAAACCACATTATCTTAAATAAGACAATAAGTTACATGTACCGAATTATGATCTGAATGATACATAAATATAACGAATTGTTTGGTTATATTTCTATAACACATTAAACAAACGGATATTCCCCACTGAAATCTCAGAGTCCAAGAAACCTGTATGTTTCTCTCTCTCTCTCTCTCTCTCTCTCTCTCTCTCTCTCTCTCTCTCTCTCTCTCTCTCTCTCTCTCTTAATTGCATATACTCTATGAACTCACACTGAATAAAAGATAGATATATCAACTTGCTCAAATCTTTACATTTTTTCAGGTTGAAACAAGAGAAGATGAGGAGCAAAATGTTAAACTACAACAGACGATTGAGTTGCTCCTTGCCGCAGGCTATTTCAGAGCCAGAATCAAGGGACTTTCTCCATTTGACAAGGTTCGGAAGAATTTGTTTCTTATTTCTAACTGATTGCTTTTTTTCTAAATAACAGTTGACCTGCATATTAATTGTATCATGGGATGCTCAACAGCATGGGATGTCAACCACTGGTCTGTCTGGTCCAACTGAAATAATGCTGACTGTGACATGAAACAACATACACACAATCATTGGCATTTGTAAGTTCTTTTCCCAAATGACCGCCTCCGTGGTCTAATGGTAGAGCGGAAGGTCCGGGGTTCGATCCCTAGCCGCGTCATACCAAAAGACGTTAAAAGATGGAACTTGTTGTTACCCTGTCTGGCGCTCGGCATTAAGGGGTTAAAACAAGGACTGGTCGGCTCGGAGTCAGTATACTGTGTCTGAGTGGGGTATTCATGTTAAACTGCGGCATGGTATCTCAGTGTGCTAGCACTATAAATCGGCATCAGTCCGGACTAGTACAAGCAGCCACACACACACATACACGTGCATGCACGTCGCTATATAAGTGCAATAATCTTGGACGCGACGTTAAACCCCATTTCACCTCACCTCTTTTCCCAAATGGCACAAATTCAGATCTTCAAGGGAGACATAACTAAAAAACAAACCAAATGATCAAATCCAAACATATGCATTTAAATTATGTTGACATAATTTCGGTTTCGCAACAAATATTCTATATACCGTATTCGACGTATGACGCTCTCAAAATTAGAAATAGGGGGCTCTTATAAGAATATTATTTTGGTGGAAAAACAGAGTTGAAAGATAAATTTCGTGGTTTATGCTGCCAGCCTGAAATGTTTATATACGACAGATGTATTTTTCCCGAATTTAATTGCCCATAATTAAGGGTGCATATAGCACACGAGTGAGTATTATACGCGAATAAATAAGTCTTGTGTACATTGATCAATCGGAAGGGGGGCTAATTGGGATTGTTCACAAGCCAATATGTTAGCAAATATCGCCGTGGGCGCTTATAACAGCAGGGCGCTTATTACGTCGAATACGGTATATACTGACTCACTATAAACATGCAAACCAGTGTTTTGTTTTATGATATATGTCATGTTGGTCATAACAGGTGGTTGGTGGTATGACGTGGTGTATCACCACCTGCAACTTTGATGTAGATGTGGACCTGCTCTTTCAAGAAAACTCCACTATTGGTCAGAAAATGTAAGTCCTGCTACACATACATCTCTACATCTGACTATAAAAGTCCAGTTTCCACCCTTGCTGAACTAGGCTGGTATTATGGAGTCTATGCATAGTCCAATCAAAATCGCGCACTGAAATCGAAATCCGGTTCGTAAAGTGTCACGCAAATTTCTGTCGACTGCAGGATTTGCAAAGCATGTGCACCGGTAACTCGTTATCAACAGATAATTTCTAAAAAATTTCATGCTTTTAATCAAGGTGTTCACGTGATTTGATGCACTTCGCGATATAAGACTCGTTTTATCACAATATATATCTTGATTATCAATCAGATCGTCTTGACTGGGCGCCACCGTTTTGTTTGAAGCAAATGCAAGTGATAGGAGAGGTTGAATCTGATTGGTCAATAGGAGAGGCATAGACAGGAGATAACTCGTAATAGCCACTGGTGGCGCTACGATCGAGCCCAGTAATTCCAGCCTTGTTCGGCAAGGGTGGAAACTGGACTTTTAAAGTCAGTTAACTCTCTTGCCTTGGGAAGATGACATCTCTATTGTTCTATCCGCAGATTCCTCTTTTTGACTTGAGATGGTCCCCAATGGGATTCCCAGGAAGAATTGGTCCTCTGTATCCCATACTTGTCTTAAGAGCTGGGTCATGACAGTAGGGGTGAAACAATACAGCAAGGCTACGATACGATACATATCACGACACATAAGTGACGATATTTACGTCAAATCGCATGGAAACGTCTTGACTATAAATATTTTAGAGCAAGTTCGAAAGGAAAAGCTAGCTCTAAACATATGCTACTTTTAGTTGTGAACTTCAAACGCTAATTACTGCACATTTTCGAATATTTGACTGACAAAAATGCTGGGGGTCATTAAACGACTAGTAAGTAAGTAATATTGGCAAGTGTATCATGTCGTGTCAATACAGACATAAATGTATCATGTGTCATATCATCACATGGAAACTCAAGGTGCACCAGTGTATCATTTCACCCAAAGTGGTTATAGACTTGATGACTTGGCTGATAGAGAGTGTTGTCATGCCCACACGTTTTCAGCTTTTCAGTCACTGTTTTTTCAGATTCAGAATGGTTAAATACAGGATGCTTCGAAAGCTACTATTCTAGGATCTTAATTGCAGCTTGTACACTGTTACATTTTGAAATATTTTACAATTTGTGTATAACATGCATAAAACATAGATCTGTGGGTTTAGACTGGAGGTGCCAGGTTCTAAAATTATAACAAACAACACATTTGCACCCTTTGAATCAGTGATCAATTATCAATACCATAACCCTATTGATGAGGAATAACCCTAACAGTGATTACTTTTGGATCACAGATTTAGTTAAAGTCAAATGAAAATTAAAAAAAATAATCTTTTATCTGTATTTTTAAAAAATGGATCACAGAATGTTTTCACAAATATTACCTGTAGGATTGGGAAAAAACTAATAAAAACATTGATAAATTAGCCATCTTAAGCAGCATTGTCTGCTGGAAGCTTTTTTTTTGGGGGGGGGGGGGGGGTCTTGGAAGACAAAGGGGACGAATTTCGGCAGTGTCCGTATATCAAATACAGGGGGCATAAGTCTAGATTTATTATGCACAGAATTTTCACAATGACTCGTCAGCTGAACATGTTTTATAGTTGATTTTTTTAAAACTCTGAGTAATCTCAAAATAATTTTGCAGCTGATCCATGATCCAACAAATAAAAATGTAATTGCCTCCTGGTGAAATGACATTCAACAAGATTGAAGATGGTTAAAAAATATACCGGTAGTTCTTGTTGCACACTGAAATTCTGTAGGATATGATATCTTTCAGTTAAGAATTTAGTTTTTTGTGGACAATGGTACTAATACTAAAAGTATAAGTAAAAACATTTGTCTAAAGATTTAATTAATATGACATAACATGTATGATGCCCTATTACAATGATTGAAATGTTAAGTTTGTTGTTTGTTTGTTGTTTAACGCCTCACTCAGCAATATTCCGGCTATATGACGGCGGTCTGTAAATAACCGAGTCTGGACCAGACAATCCAGAGATTGACATCATAAGCATCGATCCACGCCATTTGGATTCGATGACATGCATCAACCAAGTCAGCGAGCCTGACCACCCGATCCTGTTAGTCGCCTCTTACGACAAGCATAGTTGCCTTTTACGGCAAGCATGGGTTGCAAAAGACCTATTCTTCCCCGAACCTTCACGAGTCTGAAATGTTCAGAAGTCATTGACAAGTAAAATCTTCTGCCAGTCCTATCTTTAACTAATATATAAATATATCATGATATATTTCAATTAGTACATCAATACCAAATTGTTCGATCAATGACGGTCCTGTTGATGAAACCTGATTTTAAAAAGTTAACATAAACAATTAAGTTGTTTTATATAATGTATAAGTAAATAGTAAGTGATTCTGTGGCATTTGATTGGCTAATCAAACAAATAGGCCACACCCATGAATGGACTACTTTTTCCTGATTGGTTGATAATAGTGGGTGGGGCTTATGTTGCAATTGCTGATTCTTGTCAAAGTTTATGTTAATAGTCTATGTGTTGATGATTAAATAAGTAGTCTGGGATGTTATTATTGTTGACATATTTATTAAGAGGAACTGACTTTAATATGTTCTTGTGTTTATGGAGTCCTTAAAAGGCAAGTTCAAACGGAAATGAACCTATTTTTCTTGTACTTTTTCCATATTAAAAATGTTAACCTAGAAATGTTATAGACAAAAATATAAAAATATCACAATTAATTAACATATTTTTCGCATTAAAACTATTTATATTTTTCACATTTACCAAGTGTTCTATTTCCATAACAAAAACACCATGGCTTATGCCCCTTGCAATATGACGTCATTGGTGCCAATTGATAAACATTATGAAGTCATCATGCTTTGGTAGAGCCGCTTCAGGTGGTGTAGGTACAGGTGTGTGATTCTAGCGTCTCAGATGCCAGCCAGCATAGTGTTATGCTGAGTCACCACTGCGCCGGAGTGTGTCGTACACCATGTTGTCTTACCGCAAACTGGTACTTGATATCTTTTGCGTTGAGAATAGACAGGGATCCAGTTGAAATGGCACCAATTACGTCATAATCTAAGGGGGATAACTCAGGCCTGTTTAGTTCGAAAAACTAAGGCCTCATAACGGCATATCATTTTCACACTATTGTGAGCTTCCTACTTTCACTGTGAAAAAATTGAGTGTATATTTTCAAACACAGATACTAACTAATTCTAAAATTGCATTTTGTTTAGAAAAAAAGAAAGAGATTTTTGCGTGTACACTTCCCCTTTTACAGAAAAAAACAGTTCGTAAATCCACAGCATGCACACCAGTTTTTTTATGTTTATGTCCGGTAAGCAATATTTTATACCGGACATTTGAGATTCCTAATCGGACATGTCAGGCGCATATGACCGTTTCCGGATCCCTGAAACTGACTGAAAGTATAGGAGTCTTAGCGCTAAGATGATTGCAACTCCTTTCTTTAAAATTAACATAAAGTATTTGAGATACTTGGCACTAAGATAAGTTTAACTCCTTTCTTTAAGATTAACTTAAAGTTTTGGAGATGTTAGCACTAAGATGATTTTAACTCGTAAATCCACAGCATGCACACAAGGTTTTTTTATGTTTATACCTCCATAAACACCTAAAAATAATGAAGTCAGTTCTTAAGCACACTGATGGTTTTCTTCACAGTGCCCTGACAGAGAAGATCGTAGCTGTGTTACCCAAGATGAAGTGTCCACATCGTATTGAGCCTCATCAGATTCAGGGCCTGGACTTCATTCACATATACCCTGTCGTACAGGTGGGTTGTTCAGTGTGTGTTTGCACCCAAGCCTCTGTTCATTAACACTGTTCATTTAAGTACACAAAATAGGTATCTTGAGGGCTGGTGAATGGGTATGGCATCCGGCAGCATCTGGGCACACTTGCTCAAAGAGGTCTGAGCGCTAAGATGATTGTAACTCCTATTCTTTAAAACTCAGTGCCTTGGAGAGCAGGAAATACATTTTAATTGGTAAATTATCTTGTCTAGTGATGTTTTATATCAAATTTTCTTACTTTTATTGACCAAGTTTGTAATACCTGTTTATTCACCTGAATTTCGCTGAAGGAATACTATAATGCTCATCAATTCTTTGGACCCCGAAGGTAGCTTTGTTTGTTTTTTAAGATGTCCGGACAGAAAAATTTAAATGTCCGGTAAGCAATATTTTATACCGGACATTTGAGATTCCCTATCGGACATGTCCGGCGCATGTGACTGTTTCCGGATCCCTGACACTGACTGAAAGTATAGGAGTCTTAGCGCTCCTTTCTTTAAAATTAACTTAAAGTTTTGGAGATACTTGGCACTAAGATAATTTTAACTCCTTACCTTAAAATTCACCTCCGCGTATTGGATGGAGTCTTAGCGCTAAGATGATTGCAACTCCTTTCTTTAAAACTGACTTAAAGTATTGGAGATCTGAGCACTAAGATGATTGTAACTCCTTTCCTTATAATTGATGTAAAATATTGGAGATCTTAGCGCTAAGATAATTGTGACTCCTTTCATTATAATTGACATAAAATATTGGAAATTTTAGCGCTAAGATGATTGTGACTCCTATTTATTAACATTTACAAAGATCACTTTGACCACTGGACCAAATTGCCAGAGCCATTTTAGCTCTAATACGATTGCAACTCCTATTCTCTAAAAGTCAAATGAAAGATGATTATAACTTCTGTACTTTAACATTGACTTTCATTGACTTAAGTTGTAGTTCTGTGATCATTTGCTAAAATGTTTGCCTGATATCAATTATTCAAGAGAGAAATTTACCTGTTGTGACCTGTCAAGGGTTTGCCAGATCTATAAGAAAGATCGAAAGATTTGAAAGAACTGATTTTTATAACATTACATTGCATTTCAGAGATGTGGCTCGGTCCCTGGGTTCCATTAATGGATTTCTCCCAAATCTTGATGTGTTAGTGTAACTTGTAATAGATTTGACCAAAATCGTAAAATCCTATGACCTGCACCACTTTGGGCTTTGATATTCCGCCAGGCACGAAAACAACATTCACACAACCATGCACATTGTTCTTATTCAACGTCTTCATGTTGCAGTGGCTGGTAAAACGTGCTATTGAGACCCGAGAGGAGATGGGCGACCAGATTCGCATGTTCTCTATGTCTCAGTTCAACAAGAACTATGCTACTCCCGAGGTAAGGAACCCATTTTTTCCCTCAGATCACAGACATATATTGAGGGTCATTCCATGAGGCTCCATTGAAACAGTTTTCCCTGATCTCAACTTGAAATTACAAAGTATGAGTGGGAGGGGATTGGTTAAAAGAAATCAGTTGTTTCGCTCACATTGAGATTCACTTTTGGCTGTTGAATGATAGTGAGATGAGAAAAAAAATTCAAAGTAGCAGAAAAAGTGTTGTGTTTCGCTCCCCTTAGGACACAAAAAGATATGTATGTTATAAACCTGGTTTCCCTCCATCCCTTGTCTAGAGCTCCCGTCCCTAAACCTGTTTGCTAGTTTTTCTCGAGTTCTCATAAAAGCATTCATTAATTAACTGTTAACTTAATTATCCCCCGCCCCAACGAAGTTGGCAGGGGATATAGAAATGGGTTCTGTCCGTGTGTGTGTGCGTGTGTGTGTGCGTGTGTGCATCCCAAAATCGTTTCCGGAGCATAACTCAGAAACCGTTAAATATTTCTCTACGAAACTTTGCGTGTCTATCAGACTCATGCTGAACTGGTGCCTTTTGCTATTTAGGAATTTTATAAAAAAATTATTTTTTACGTTTCCATGGCAACAAGTTGGACTTAGGTTCTATAAGGGTGCTGTTCGTTTCTGGAGTGTAACTCAAAAACTGTTAAATAATTTCTTACAAACCTTTGCATGCTTACCAGACACATACTGAACTGGTGCCTTTTGCTATTTAGGAGTTTTATAAATTTTTATTTTTTACGTCTCCATTGCAACAAGTACGACTTAGGTTCTATAAGGGTGCTGTTCGTTTCCGGAACGTAACTCAAAAACCGTTAAATAATTTCTTACAAAACTTTGCATGTTTACCAGACACATACTGAACTGGTGCCTTTTGCTATTTAGGAGTTTTATAAATTTTTATTTTTTACGTCTCCATTGCAACAAGTTGGACTTAGGTTCTATAAGGGTGCTGTTCGTTTCTGGAGCGTAACTCAAAAACTGTTAAATACTTTCTTACAAAAGTTTGTATGTCTACTAGGCACATACTGAACTGGTGCCTTTTGCTATTTAGGAATTTTATAAATTTTTATTTTTTACGTTTCCATTGCAACAAGTTTGACTTAGGTTCTATAGGGTACAGTTTGTTTCCGGAGCATAACTCAAAACCCATTCAATACTTTCCAACAAAAACTTTGCATGTTTACCAGACATTTACTGGACTGGTGCCTCTTGCTATTGAGGAATTTTAGACATTTTTATTTTTCTCGTTTCCATGGCAATAAGTTGGACTTAGGTTCTACAGGGGTGGTGTTAGGTTCTACAGGGGTGGTGTTCGTTTCCAGAGCGTAACTCAAAAACCGTTAAATACTTTCTTACAAAACTTTGCATGACTACCAGGCACATACTGAACTTGTGCCTTTTGATATATAGCACTTTTAGAAATTTTTATTGTTTATGTTTCCATGACAACAAGTTGGATTGAAGTTTTAATATAGGATTGGTTTACTTAAGGAGTATAACAAATAAACTGTTAAATATTTCCTTGCCAAACATTGCATGTCTATATATAAAGCGCATACTGAACTTGTGCCATTTGATATTAAGGAGTTTTAGAAATGTTTATTGCAGCTATTTCCATTGCAGCTATTTTGACATGGGCTAAGAGAAATGTTGGGTCAGTTACCTGGTTTGGGACCATAACGTGTTAAAATGGGCGGGGGATATAGATGACTTTGTCAACTATACGCTTGTTGTCATTGGAAAGAAGGCTTTTACTGACATTTGTGATATTTGATATTTGTGGATGGGCTGAAATAGGAAGAATGTGTTTCTTAGTGGGTTGAGATGGGGACCTTTTGTCAAATATTGATGAAAAAACAGCACTAACAACAAACATGTATATCAGGGGGCACGGGTGGCCAAGTTGTCCAAGGTGCCGCGATTCGCTGCGCAGAGTTGCATCCCTTGGGCATGCCAGAAACCTATGATTATGGGTTCGAATCCCGGTTTGCCCTGATTATGTTTCTAGGTTAGTCAGCACCATACCTGTGCTCGTTGGTTTCATCGAAGTGGTGAACGTCTGAGACCTGCATCTCTTCGGGCTTTCCTCCCACATTAAGCCGACACGCCGTGATATAACAGGAATACTGTTAAAAGCGGCGTTAAACCCAACTCACTCACTCACTTACTCACTCACTACATGTATATCATAAAATAAAAAAATTACTTCGACTGAAATTAACCATCCAATATTAGCACATGTGGGAGCTGCTACACACATTTACACACACTTCTACAAGTGTGCACAGTACTTCATATGTGTTTCCTCTTTCCCCTTCTGGTACATGAGTGGGTGGGTGTAGCCTAGCTGGGGTACAATGTGTGAAGCCCATTTCTGGTGTTCACGACTGTGATATTGCTGGAATATTCCTTAAACTACACATACTGACTGACTGACTCACTCACTCACTCACTCACTCACTCACTCACTCACTCACTCACTCACTCACTCACTCACTCACTCACTCACTCACTCACTCACTCACTCAGCCTCCGTGGTCTAGTGGTAGAGCACCCGCCCAGAGAGCAGAAGGTCCAGGGTTCAATCCCCGACCGCGTCATACCAAAAGACGTTAAATGATGGAACTTGTTGTTACCCTGTCTGGCGCTTGGCATTAAGGGGCTTAAACAAGGACTGGTTGGCTCGGAGGCAGTATACTGTGTCTGAGTGGGGTATTCATGTTAAACTGCGGTATGGTATCTCAGTGAGCTAGCACTATAAATCGGCATCAGTCGGCATCTAGTACAAGCAGCGACACACACACACACACACGTGCAGGCATGTCGCTATATCAGTGCAATAATCTTGGACGCGACGTTGAACCCCATTTCCCCTCACTCACTCACTCACTCACTCACTCACTCACTCACTCACCTTGACCTTTCTTTGTGTATGTGACATATGCTGTATCTAACAAAACTTTGATATGCCACTCCGAAAACCTGACTGTGTCTTATCTTTGAGCGTGACTACGGAATGTTGTGTGTAGGTTGTGGTGAAGTAGATAGTGAGTTGTGTTTAGGGAAGGTGACATTTAGAAGAGTTGCTTTTCCTTCTGTTTGATCACAGAAGCAACATAGATCCTTCTCATGGTGTTTACATGTCCTTGGACCATTTTATGACAGTCTCTTGTAAAGTACAAATACTCTTCTGGTAGCTCTATTGCAGGCCTATAGAACATATTTTAATTTCAGATCATTTCAGTAAGCATCGCTACAATCTCTGTGCGTGTGTTTGTGTGCATGCTTGAGTTGTGTGATAGACATTTCTTAGAAGTTGACAGTGTAGACACAATTTATGGATAACAACTTCTATATAATTTACTGTAATGGCGACATTTCAGTACAGATCCTTATGCCATTATGCCAAGCAACAGTTCCTTGACAACAGTATAAGTATCTATACTGAAAGCAGTCTAGCAGCCTACACTCATCCCCTTCTCAACTCCAGCAGCCTTTACTCATCCCTTTCTCACCTCTAGCAGCCTAAACTCACCCCCTTCTCAGCTCCAGCAGCCTAAACTCATCCCCTTCTCAGCTCCAGCAGCCTAAACTCATCCCCTTCCCAGCTTCAGCAGCCTACACTCATCCCCTTCTCAGCTCTAGCAGCCTACACTCATCCCCTTCCCAGCTCTAGCAGCCTACACTCATCCCCTTCCCAGCTCTAGCAGCCTACACTCATCCCCTTCCCAGCTCTAGCAGCCTACACTCACCCCCTTCTCAGCTCTAGCAGCCTACACTCATCCCCTTCTCAGCTCCAGCAGCCTACACTCATCCCCTTCCCAGCTCTAGCAGCCTACACTCATCCCCTTCCCAGCTCTAGCAGCCTACACTCATCCCCTTCCCAGCTCTAGCAGCCTACACTCACCCCCTTCTCAGCTCTAGCAGCCTACACTCATCCCCTTCTCAGCTCCAGCAGCCTACACTCATCCCCTTCCCAGCTCTAGCAGCCTAAACTCATCCCCTTCCCAGCTTCAGCAGCCTACACTCATCCCCTTGTCAGCTCTAGCAGCCTACACTCATCCCCTTCCCAGCTCTAGCAGCCTACACTCATCCCCTTCCCAGCTTCAGCAGCCTACACTCATCCCCTTCCCAGCTTCAGCAGCCTACACTCATCCCCTTCCCAGCTTCAGCAGCCTACACTCATCCCCTTGTCAGCTCTAGCAGCCTACACTCATCCCCTTCCCAGCTCTAGCAGCCTACACTCATCCCCTTCCCAGCTCTAGCAGCCTACACTCATCCCCTTCCCAGCTTCAGCAGCCTACACTCATCCCCTTCCCAGCTTCAGCAGCCTACACTCATCCCCTTGTCAGCTCTAGCGGCCTAAACTCAGCCCCTTCCCAGCTCTAGCAGCCTAAACTCATCCCCTTCCCAGCTTCAGCAGCCTACACTCATCCCCTTCCTAGCTTCAGCAGCCTACACTCATCCCCTTGTCAGCTCTAGCAGCCTACACTCATCCCCTTCTCAGCTCCAGCAGCCTAAACTCATCCCCTTCCCAGCTTCAGCAGCCTACACTCATCCCCTTCCTAGCTTCAGCAGCCTACACTCATCCCCTTGTCAGCTCTAGCAGCCTACACTCATCCCCTTCCCAGCTCTAGCAGCCTACACTCATCCCCTTCCCAGCTCTAGCAGCCTACACTCATCCCCTTCCCAGCTTCAGCAGCCTACACTCATCCCCTTCCCAGCTCTAGCAGCCTACACTCATCCCCTTCCCAGCTTCAGCAGACTACACTCATCCCCTTCCCAGCTTCAGCAGCCTATACTCATCCCCTTCTCAGCTCTAGTGGCCTAAACTCAGCCCCTTCCCAGCTCTAGCAGCCTACACTCATCCCCTTGTCAGCTCTAGCAGCCTACACTCATCCCCTTCTCAGCTCAACGCCTGAAATTACGAGATTGGGGGTTCCTCTGGAGAATAATTTTTATTATACCCCCAGACAAAAT